AATTTTGTTGAGAAACCTTACCCCATTTACCCTACAACCCTGATCTTACCCTTCGGAGTTTGTTTTTGTTCCCAGAACTCAACATTTAAAAGGAACACAATTTGTATCCCTTGAGGATGTCCAAACTGCCAATTTGTGATGGCGTTGTATATGTCTAAATGATATATATAAAAGAGCACAGAATTCTCCAGGGAAGGGTTCAAGAGATGTAAATAAGTAATGCCATCAAAAGTATATAGAGCTAGAAGAAGGGTATGTTAAGAAACAGTAGCTTCATATTTTGATATTTTTGTTTTAGGAAATATTTCTATGATTTTTTCCCCACGATCTCCATCTTCCACCCACCCTGCTAGGGTGAGTTCAGAGACTTGGGACGTTTGAATGGAGACGCACCTGTTTCTATGGTTTTATAGAAATACTTTTTTATTTAACCTCATATCATACTTGAGTTGGATATTAGAGTTTTTTAAATCAAATTTTGATTTATTCACTGTTAAATAAATTTGATAAGGAGAAGCAGTTTCATTTGTTGTTTTGGGAAAAGACTGAACTTTTCATAATGATAGTAAGGAATATGAGAATTTCTTTCTTGCTAATACTGATGTAGGGTTTTTAAGGTTAAATGCACTTTTTACTTGAGTGATGGGAATAGTAGTTAGGGTCCACTTCACTTTTGTGGTTTCTGTAATATCGACAGTAAATTTGCTAATATCCAGCATTGTGCTGAGATTATTATTTATTAAATGAGTAAGATGGAAAATATAAACTCCTTACTTTTCTCTTTAGAGATCGCGCAGTGAAATTTACTGAGAGATCCAGACCTGGAGTTCAGATATCTTGTTCATCTTTCAGTTCTGGTGTGTATAAAAGTTGAATATGTTTTGAGTATCCAAAACACTAAATGATCCAGATGTAAATGATAGGTTTCTTAACTATTTGATGAAAAAAATATGTATGAGTGATAATAGAAATGTGCCAAAAATGTACCATTTAAAGAAAAAACATTTTAGACTTTAATGAACATATAATTGTGATTGAGTTTTTAAAATTCAACTTCAGTAGGCAGCACAAAGGGAATTGTAGATAGAGATAATTTGACTTATGACACCAAACAATAAAAGTGGTTTCTGCATAGAATATCTCAAGCCTGCGATCTTCAGTATTTAAGACCCAAAGACTTGTATTTGGTGTACTGGTAGTAGATTTTATTGGATGAATGATATTAATGTTCTTTGAATAATTTTCTGTAATTATTTTCTTTTAAAAATTAGTAATTCCTTAATGGTTAGAAGATAATCTTGTATTTCTTTAAAACCCTTTGATTAATATAAGATAGCATACAAATAATGAAATAATCACAAGATTTTTAAAAAAAAATTTCTGTCACTCTTTTCATTCTTTTAATCTTTTAGGTGGTATGTTTATTACAACAGGGAGCACTGATCATGTAATTCGAATATATTATTTGGGTTCTGAGGTTCCTGAGAAAGTTGCAGAATTAGAGTCACATACGGTAAGAGTGATGTGAGAAACTTAAATATGTTGCTTTCTATCACCCCCCAAAGTTTTTTTTCTTTTTTACTGCTCGGTGTCCTTGTTTAAGGTGGATTGGTGTTTAAACCATTATGCCAAGTTGTCTCTTTAGTAATGAAGGTCAATAAGAAATTTTGGATTTGGTAGGGTTGTATTTAAGATGAGTTTTACTTGATTGTTCCTAAGAGAAAATATATGGAAATATACTTGTACTATAGTAATATTTTGTGTCACTCCTATTTTTAGCCTGATATTCTTTATTAGTTTTATAACTGTTACTTTGAAATCACTATACTTAATAAAAGGCATATAAAATGTTTTAGGAAAAATCTTTTTACTAAATGTATTTTGTTAATCTTAATATAAGCCAAAAGTTATTTCTACTAGGGTTAAAGTTCACAAATTCATAGGTTTCAAATAAACCATGTTTATGCCATTCAACCATTTCAAATAAAACATGCTTAAACATGTCTCTCTGATCAGGATGGCAGCCAACAAATTCTCTTAATAATACCCTTGTCTTAATCTAATTGGGGTGCCTTCCCCAAAAAAGGTCTAATCAAAACAGGGGCATATACAGAGACTTGCATTAGTTAAATTTAAGGCTAAAAGGTCGGTACAGGTTTTGGAAACTGTCTTTTGGGATTCCAAAGGATAATCTTGTAGATTTCCTTTAATGGCACAGGACAATCACAGGGGCTTATTATGAAGGATTTTTTTTTTCGTTTGAAAACTGCATTGGTTGTAAAAAG